CGGATCCGTGTCGGATCCACCCCATATCTACCTTGAGCACGCAACGAGCCCGCGTCGGGCGCAAGAAAAGATACCAACTTGGGGGACAGACGAGGTCACCCGAATATGCAACGTAAAGAGCATGGCTCCTAGTCACCTTTCAAGGGATTCCTCACCTAACAAATGCCCCACGCCCCCCCCCCCAAAAAAAAAGCTGGCATACGCCACCACATCCGAAGCATGAAGCCAGTGCCGACTGACTTGGCGACGGAGCTCGTCGATTCTTACTGGAAGTGGGACCCGACGCTGATCCACGCGCCCTCATCCATGTTTTTGCGTTTCCTCGAAAACTGCGGCCGTGGTCGCTGCTCCCCAAGAGCCGCCCGTCCCCAAACATGGAAACGCAACAGGGGAACGGGACCCAGGGAGACGCACTGGTCCAGAGGCACTGCTGCCTGGGCCTTTTCTTCATCTTCCCCCTGTTCCTGATCCCCCACCCCCTTCGCCTACGACCCCCCCCTGCAAAAATCATCTGGCCGTCGCCGTCCGTCGCTGCCCTCCTCCTCTTTCTTCTCCTTCTCCTCCTCCTCTTCGTCCTTCTTTTCCTGTTATTCCTCCTCCTCCTCCTCCTCATTGTCCTTCTCATGTTGGTCCTTGTCCTCCTCCTCCTCCTCCGCTTCCTCCTCCTCCTCCTCCTCCCTCCTCCTCCTCCTCCTCCTCCTCCTCCTCCTCCCCATCCTCCTCCTCCTCCTCCTCCTCCTCCTCCTCCTCAGCATCCTCATCACCACCACCATCAGAATGATCAGAACCATAATCCTCAGCATCATCAGCCACAGCCGCATCATCAGCAGCAGCAGCATCATCAACATCATCACCTTCACCATCATCGTCAACAACATCAGCGCCATACGCATCGCAGTCATAATACTTGTAATACGAAGATGAATCGTGATAGTGGCCACATTAATAGTACAAGCACTAGGAATACTATACATATTGTTGGAACTCATGAAAAAAGCGTACTGCAATAATAATAATAATAATAATAATAATAATAATAATAATAATAATAATAATAATAATATAACGCATGGTAATAATAATGAGGGTAACACTGAATAACAATAGAAATCATAATCATCATCGTCATAATCATCATCATCAAAATCATCACTATCGTCGTCGTCGCCGTCGCCAACAACAACGTGAGCATCATCACCATCATTACCATCATCAACATCGCCATGATGAGCACCATCAGCATCACCATCCTCATCAGCATCATCATCACCATAAGCATCACCCTCGCCATCATCATCAGCATCAGCAGCAGCAACACCATCGCTCTCACACAAAGAAGGTGAGGACTGAGGCGGGTCAGTGGAAAGAGGCAGGGGGCGGGGTGGTCTGACCTCTGGGTGGCTCGATCCAGCGACCTCCTGGAGCTAACGGCGGCCTCCTGTCAAGGCCTGTCTGGAGGCCACGGTGCAAGGGCGGCACCGAGAGGGAGGGGAGGGAGGGGAGGGGAGGAGAGAGCAGGAGAGAACACAAGGCGGAGGCGACGGGCACGCGGCCGCGGGGCCTGCGCCACCCCCAACCCCGCCGTGAGGCGCGCGGGCCCGCTGGAGGCAAAGAGCGGGAAAGACAACGGGAAGGAGAGGGGTGAGGGAGAGCTAAGGGCAGAGCGCCCGTGGAGGAGGAGGAGGGACGGGAAGAAGGACGTGGCGCAGCAAGAGGAGGGATAGAGACAGAAGGTGACTAGGTACCAATGGTGCCTAATAGCGGCCCGCTCAGCGCAGGCCAGCAGACCGGCGGCGCTGCAGCGTCAGCTGCGTCTGCACGACACGACTGGCGCTCTGAAGGCCCAGACGAGCTCCGTGGCTTGCTGGTCAGCGGGGCAGTGCTCAGTCACTTGGCGGACAAGCCATTGCCGAGCCTCGCCACCCGGGCGCCCGAGCGTCTTGACCAGGAAGGACGTAAGGCGGTCGCCCGGGTTCCAGGCTCGTGAGCAGAGCCGGCGCGCGGCTCTGCTCACGAGTGGCTCCGCCGCGAGGTGGCGCACCGAGACGTCCACGCAGTGCCGCCCAGCGCCCTCGTGGCAGTCGATGTCCAAGATGGCGCGTTTGAGCAGGTCGGCCTCCGGGGCGTCCGCGGGCCGCCAGTGACGCTGGCGGTCCCACGTAGGGGCACGTTGCTCCAGCATGGGCTCCTGGCGGCGCCAGCGCTTGAGCAGCCCCACCACCGTGTTCTCGAGCCTCCCGTGGCGCGCGAAGGCGTAGCCCCCCGAGGGCGCAGACGGCGGGCGTGGCTGGCCTGGTCGTCCAGCTGCGGACCGCACGCGGCGGCGCCTGGATCGGCTCCTCTGGCCCGGCGCTGGCAAGCAGCGGAGGCGGTAGCCAGCTCGTCCTGCGCGCTCTTTGGCCTGCGCTCCAGCACCCGCGCGCGCAGTGCTGTCGACTATGGCTTGTCCTCCATGGAAGACGGCGGGTCACCGGGGTGCAACAGAACGGCGGCCGCCCCCAGGCCTCCGGGCCCCCGGCAGCAAAGCTCTCTCGTGCTCGGGCAGACGCTGGCACGAGGAAGCGCGCGCAATCCTGCTCCTCCTCTTCCTCCTCCTCCTCCTCCTCCTCCTCCTCCTCTTCCTCCTCTTCCTCCTCCCCCTCCTCCTCCCCCTCCTTCTCATCATCATCATCATCATCATCATCATCATCATCATCATCATCAGCAGCAGCAGCAGCAGCAGCAGCATCAGCATCAGCATCCTCATCATCATCCTCATCATCCTCATCATCATCATCATCATCATCATCATCATCATCATCATCATCATCGTCATTGTCATCGTCATCGTCTCGTCGTCGTCGTCGTCGTCATCGTCATCATCATCATCAGCATCATCGTCATCATCATAATCATGATCATCATCATGATCGTGATCATGATCATGATCATGGTCATCATCATCAGCAGCAGCATCATCATCATCATCATGATCATCTTGGCGCACGAGTTGTCCAGGCGAGGGGCGAGCGCAACGCGGGCGCCCTCCCTCCCGTCCACAACCCCCCAGACGTCCTCTGACCTTTAGGTCTGGGAGGAGAGACCGAAGTGAAACGGAGCTGAGTTGGGCGCCCACTCGGGAGCTGCATTTGCGCCTTCAGTGCAAATCTAAACTGACGTCACCCCCCCCCCCATCCTCCCTATCATCCGAGCTGTTGACTGTGATGCTCCGATTCGTTCCATCCGCGACCCCAGGGCCTCGACCCCCCCCCCTCTCCCTCCCGTGCGCAGCTCTGCGCTCCGGATGCGGCTCCGAAGAGCCCCGAGGCCCGACCGTGGCCCCCTGGAGGCCGAGAGACACCGCAGGCAAGTGGCCCCCTGGAGGCCGAGGTGAGCAAATCCTCTGGTCCGTATTCGTCTGAGGGAGAGCTTGTCACCCACAGTGATGCGCACTGGCTGTCTCAAGGGACGCGCCTGCCGAGGATGACAGTATGATGCGTCGAGGTGTCGGAGGCCAGGAGGTCGGGAAAAGGCGCCGCGGCCGAAACACGTGGATCAGGGCCTTTCATCGCGAGTTGTTTTTTGACGGTCCCTCTGGGCCCGGCGAGTCTGGCTCAAGTGATACGCCTTGCCGAGGAGGGCCAGGAGAAGGACGGAGACGAGGATGACAATATGATGCGTCGAGGTGTCGGAGGCCGAGAGGACGGGGAAAAAGCGCCGCGGCCGAAGCACGTGGATTGAGCAGGGACCAACCGTCCCGGCATTACTATAGTCCCACCACGAAATATTTTTAGAACCCCAAGATGTTCTCAGAACAACATCAATGTTCTTAGAACATTAACCCGATGTGTTAAACCAAGACAGTCCCAGCCAGAAATATTCTAAGAACATCTCGTGGAAACCTCAACAGGTTCTTAGAACATTGTTTGGTAGGGCTGTAGGCGAGCCAGGACGCTTCGCCACTGCTTGAGTGGATCTCCTCGGTGGCCTGGGGCCTGCTGGGATGACCATCGGAGCTTCTACGTGGATAGGGATGTTACAAGTGGACGCCAAGGTGGTTTATATCTGGCCCAACCTGGCTTATAAGTGGGTCACAAACGCCTTAAGTATCTTAGGGGGGTTATCGATCCGTGCTTGCTGGGCTCCGCCCACTTAGCCGTGTTATCTAACCCTCCTGAGCCACTCGGGGCACCTGTAACCCACTTATGAGCCAGGTTAGGCCAGATATAAACCACCTTGGCGTCCACTTGTAACCCTACTATACACTTAGAAACCCTCACGGTCATCCATTTTTCGTTCTTAGAACCCAAACATGTTCTGAAAACAAAAACAATGTTCTTAGAACATTACCCCGATGTGTTAAACCAAGACAGTCCCAGCCAGAAATATTCTAAGAACATCTCGTGGAAACCTCAACAGGTTCTTAGAACATTGTTTGATAGGGCTGTAGGCGAGCCAGGACGCTTCGCCACGGGGGCCTGGGGCCTCCGAGGCCGACACCGCGGCGGCCGGCGCGGCCAGATGTAAACCACCTTGGCGTCCACTTGTAACCCCCCTGTACACTTAGAAACCCTCACGGTCATCCCGGGCGTCTTGATGTTTTGAAGAAGGGGTCCCCGGAAGTCCTGACCCTTACCCAAGGCCTCTCATCGCGAGTCGGCTTTTGACGGTCCCTCTGGGCCCGGCGAGGGGCCCCAGGAGGCCAAGCCTATACCAACACCTGCTGCCGTGATATTTTTCCACGACGCGAGCGTGTCTGAAGTTTCGGGCCATACCCTGGCTCTCCAGCGGCCTCTCGCGACGATCCGGGGGCACCCTGCCCTGACCTTCCAGGAAGGCTAAAAAATAGCACCCGACTTAAAAACCTATCCCAGAGCTATTCTACGTCTTGGCTTTAGGCTGTTTCGTATAGTTGTTTGAGGTTTTTAGGCCTCCCGTGCTAAAACATAGCTCTCTGGAAGGTCAGGGTGGGGCCTCCGCGGCCGAGGCCCCGCGGCGGCCGGCGCGGGTGCCGCACCGTCCTCCTGGCGGATGATCTCCGGCGCCAGGTAGTGGTCGGAGCCCCGGAAGGACACGGACCGAGGGCCCCTCGCCGGGGCGGGGCGCCAGGAGGCGCCAGGGGGAGGGAGGAGGGAGGGTTGGAGAGGGGAGGAGGGAGGGGAGGGAGGAGGAGGAGGGAGGAGGGAGGGGAGGGAGGAGGAGGAGGGAGGAGGTAGGAGGAGGAGGGGGAGGGAGGAGGAGGGAGGAGGGAGGAGGGAGGAGGGAGGAGAGGAGGAGGGAGGGAAGGAGGAGGGGAGGGGAGGAGGGAGGAGGGGAGGAGGAGGAGGAGGAGGAGGGAGGAGGGAGAAGGAGGAGGAGGAGGAGGAGGAGGAGGAGGAGGAGGAGGAGGAGGAGGAGGAGGAGGGAGGAGGAGGAGGAGGAAGAGGAGGGAGGAGGAGGGGGCAGGCAGGGGGGTTCGGCTCCTCGGTTCGGTCGAGGTCCGAGTCTCTGCGGCGAGGTGGAGAGAGAGCGGGGCCCTGGCCCGGGCTGCCCAGCCTTGGAAGAAACCGCACGCGAGCCCTGCCCCTGCAGTGATGGGCCTGTTTTCCACCACCATCACCACCACCACCACCACCACCACCACCACCACCACCACCACCACCACCACCACCACCACAAGTTGGAGGGGGAGAGGAGGAGGACGACGACGACGAGGAGGACGACGAGGAGGAGGAGGAGGTGGAGGAGGAGGAGGAGGACCACCTCCTCCTCCAACTTCTGGTGGCGGTGGTGGTAAAGGAGGAAAACGAGCCCTTCGTGCAGGTCAGACGTCTGGAAGACGGCCTGGGCTGGCAGATGTCCGGAGCCGGGCGGGCCCCAGCGGGGGTGTCCGACGCCCCAGCGCCCCGTGGACGCGCAGGGGTAGGGCGCTCGCAAGAGGCCTCGGGAGAGGGGGCGCCCCGAGGCGAGCGGAGGAACAGGGGAGGTCGGGGAGGGAGTCGCGCCTCTCTCATCTTTTCAAAATCTGCGGCGATGGCGGGCGTTGTGGTGGGTGGGGGGGGGGCCGGGGGCGGGACGGGGGCGGGGGAGGGGGGGGCACGACGCAACGACCCCGCCCACAGTGACAGACTGCGGTGCCGTACGCACTGCGGCAGTGCCAGGGACGCACTGGGGGGGGGAGAGCGCTGCGTCATGGGAAAGGGGGAAGGGGGTGGGGAGGAAAAAAACGGTGGAATCCGGAGGTTGGGTCGGTAACCTCCGGAGGTTACCGATTCCCCCTCGGAGAGTGAGTCGGTAACCTCCGGAGGTTACCGATTCCCCCTCGGAGAGTGAGTCGGTAACCTCCGGAGGTTACCGATTCCCCCTCGGAGAGTGAGTCGGTAACCTCCGGAGGTTACCGATTCCCCCTCGGAGAGAGTCGGTAACCTCCTACCTCCTCCCCAACAGACACCACCAGCGCAAGAAACATGCCCGCGCAACCAGAAGGGGCCGCGGGCCGAGGACATGCGCACCGAGAATGGGGCCCTTACCTCCCCCTCCCCGAGGAGCGGGCAGACCCTTGGAAACAGACAAGAAAACCAAGGGAGGGGAGGGCCGAGGACAAGGTCGGTAACCTCCGGAGGTTACCGATTTCCCCCCTCCCCCCCCCTTCCTCCCCGAGAGAGGAGGCAGGCCCTTGAACATATACAAGAAAAACCGAGCGAGAGCCGAGGACAAGATCGGTAACCTCCGGAGGTTACCGATTTCCCCCCCCACCCCCCCTTCCTCGCCGAGAGAGGAGGCAGGCCTTTGAAAATATACGAGAAAAACCGAGCGAGGGCCGAGGACAAGATCGGTAACCTCCGGAGGTTACCGATTTCCCCCCCCTCCCCAGAGAGGAGGCAGGCCCCTTAAAATAGACGAGGAAAACCGAGCGAAGGCCGAGGACAATGTCGGTAACCTCCGGAGGTTACCGATTTCCCCCCCCCTTTCCTCCCCGAGAGAGGAGGCAGGCCCCTGGAAAGATACGAGAAAAGCCGAGCGAGGGCCGAGGACAGGGTCGGTAACCTCTGGGGTTACCGATTTCCTTACGAGGAATACGAGGAGGAGGAGGAGGAGGAGGAGGAGGAGGACGAGGAGGAGGACGAGGAGGAGGGGCACGGGGAGGACGAGGAGGAGGAGGATGGGGGAGGACGTGGGGGAGGAGGACGAGGAGGGATAACAGGAGGACAAGGAGGACTAGGAGGGAAAGGACAATGAGGAGGGGGACGAGGAAGAGTATGAGGAGGAGGAGGAGGAGGAGGAGGAGGAGGAGGAGGAGGAGGAGGAGGGGGATGGGGAGGAGGAGGAGGAGGAAGTGCAATGTTATGAAGATGGATTCGGGCGAATCCCAGGGCGCTGGCGCGGGGGACCAGTCGACATTCACGTAGGTTCCCCGTGGTGGTTCCTGGGAGGGTTTAGGGGCTTCAAGATCCCACCTTGAAATTCATCCAGGGTCCGAAGGTATCCCCCAGAGATTTTTAGGCACTTTCTTATGAGTGGTTCTCGGATGGTCCGATGGTCCCCCTGGGGGTCGCCTGGAGAGTTTCACGGCTCCCCCGGAGAATCTTGGAGGGTTTGGGGAGGTTTCCCAGGTGCCTTCAAGGAGGGATCGAGGGATGGGTTCAGCACCTGTCACGGGGCCCAGGAGGGTTCGATGGTTCCCGCTGGGGTTCCTGGTAGGTTTCAGGATCCACCAAGAAATTCTTGGTGGTTTTTGGTGGACTCCATGATTCCCTTTGTGGCGTCAGAAATGTTCGAGGGCTCGACAAACAGATCTGTTGCGCCGAGTACAAAATCAGTCATGCGACCGGCAGTATAATCGAAATTCAAATGGACAGTGACATCGATAGAGAATTCAGCTGTGATATCGATATCGAAGTCGTTTCTGACAGATTAACAACGAGATCGATTGTGAGACCGAAAAGAAGACCGACAGTAATTTCGATAGTGATGTCGTCAATTCGATCGATGGTGTTATCGGTTTTTAAACTCGATGCTGGATTCGATGGTATCACCGACAACGATCGTTTGTCACCGATGAAGATAACAACCTTGATATCAACAGCGGGGCCGACATTGAGATCGATAGTGATATCGACGGTATGATATCGATGGTGTTATCATGTTCGATGGTGGTTCTGATAGTGAGACCCGTACTGGTATCGACCGTATGATCCATGCCAATGTGGACACTGGGGGTTGATAGGGAGATTCGTTGTGATAACGATAATGATATCCATAGCGGGACCGATCTTGATATCGATTGCGGAATCGATGGTGTGATCAACCGTGACAGCGTTAGTTGGATCGGTTGTGAAGTCGGTATTCACATATTTTGAGCCATCTCGTTGTTGAAGCCAGACGCGAGCTCGATGGAGTTAGGGCTCTTTTCCCCATGAGCCCTCTTATCACCCCAGTGCTTGCCGTATAGGTTAAAAGGTTACTGGATGTCGTAGTGGTCTGTTCGATGTGGCCTCCCTGGTCTCCTCCCAGGGTTTGTCTTGTTGTCCTCCTGTTTTTGCATCTGGCTGAAATATTACTGTCTTCGGGTTATATAAGATGGTCGTTGGAGGTTTTGCACTCCGTGAAGGGGGCACGTAGGAAACAGTGCCTACTTCCATGGGGGAACTTGTGCATAGTCGCTCACCTTTGCTATGCTCACGCTCCTCCTGCTGCTTGTATTGGGCCCGCACCCCATTCGCAGCAATCTCGGCTGTGCTATTGCAGTATCTATCTTCTATGAACTTTCCACAGCCGTTCCACTGAATTGTGTTGTTGTCATGATGTTCTTTTGGGGGCCCCTGTGGCTTGCGAGTGCGAGCCATGCAATTATTCTGTTTCGCCGGCAGACCGCGCGAGGTCAACCAGTGCCTGGTGCCCGATTGCAGCTCCGCGCAACCCACGATTTGGGTGGATACGGGTGCCGGGTGCACCCGCGGGTGCAAAACGGGCAAACAGATACAGCTTCGGGGGCCCCGCTGTGTTTTTCTCTCGGGGCTTTGGTCCTGCGCCGCCCCGGTCCCGAACAGCCAGGAGCGGCGCCGCGACCGTTTTCGGAGGGGGCCCAGCGCTGATCCGACCAATCCAGGCGCGCCTCCGCAAGTGTGTTTCTGTTGTTTTTGATGGGTACGTTTGGTTCGAAGAGGAGGAACGACATAGACACAAACATGACCTTTCGGCGGTCCTCCGCGGAAATCCTGCATGCGCGGATCCCTGAGACTGAGGCTGAGGCCGAGGCAGGCTGAGGCTGGGTCGAGGCAAGCCGAGGCTGGGTCGAGGCAGGCCGAGGCAGGCTGAGGCTGAGGCTGAAGCTGAGGCAGGCTGAGGCTGCGGCTGAGGCTGAGGCAAGCTGCGGCCGAGGCAGGCTGAGGCTGAGGCTGATGCAGGCTGAGGCTGAGGCAGGCTGGGGCTGAGGCTGAGACAGGCTGAGGCTGAGGCTGAGGCCGAGGCAGGCTGAGGCTGAGAGGCCGACAGTGAGGCCGAGGCAGGCTGAGGCTGAGGCTGAGGCCGAGGCAGGCTGGGGCTGAGGCTGAGACAGGCTGAGGCTGAGGCTGAGGCCGAGGCAGGCTGAGGCTGAGAGGCCGACAGTGAGGCTGAGGCAGGCTGAGGCTGAGGCTGAGGCCGAGGCAGGCTGGGGTTCAGGCCGAGGCACGCCGAGGCAGGCTGAGGCTTAGGCTGAGGCTGAGTAGTGGTAGAAGTGGTAGTCCCAGTCGTAGTCGTAGTAGCAGTAGTAGTAGTGACATTATTATTATTATTAATAGTAGTAGTAGTAGTAGTAGTAGTGGTAGTAGTAGTAGTAGTAATAGTAGTAGTAGTCGTAGTCGTAGTCGTGGTCGTAGTAGTGGTAGTAGTAGTTCTCGTAGTAGTACTAGTACTAGTTCTAGTACTAGTACTCGTAGTAGTAGAAGTAGTAGTAGTAGTAGTAGTAGTAGTAGTGGTAGTAGTAGTAGTAGTGGTAGTAGTAGTAGTAGTAGTAGTCGTAGTAGTAGTAGTAGTAGTAGTAGTAGTAGTAGTAGTAGTAGTAGTAGTAGTAGTAGT